CTAACACATTAAAGTCTGTCTTTCTGTATTGCAAATAACATTTCATTTCATGAGTAAGAAACATCCTTCATGTGGGAAATCTTTGCTCTTAACATTGCATGAACCAACTTTCTCTCGCTGGGAAAAAAGCTTTGCAGCATATTTGGGCTTGCTTTCTCTTCATTTGGTCAGAAACACTAACACAGCATTAGTGCTCATAGAAGCTCTGAACTAAGCAGGCTGTGCATTGAAGCGCTAACATGACTTGCTGTGTCTGGAACTTGTAACACACTGAAAAGGCTCTTTCTGCATTGCAAATAAGCTTTCATTTCATGAGTTAGAAACATTTTTCATAAGGGCAAGATTTACTCTTAATATTGCATAAACCAACTTTCTCTCTTTGCTCTTAACATTGCATAAACCAACTTTCTCTCACTGGGAAAAAAGCTTTGCAGCATATGTGGGCTTGCTTTCTCTTCATTTGGTCAGAAACACTAACACAGAATTAGTGCTCATAGAAGCTCTAAACTAAGCAGGCTGTGCATTGAAGCTCTAACATTACTTACTGAGTCTGGAACTTGTAACACACTGAAAAGGCTCTTTCTGCATTGCAAATTAGATATCATTTCATGAGTTAGAAAAATCCTTCCTGTGGTCAAGCTTTCTTCGTAATTTTAAAAAAAAAAAAAAACTTTCTCATGCTCAGAAAGTACCTTTTAAGCACATTTGGGCTTGCATTCTCTCCATTTGATTTTTTCCAGTAACAGAGCATTAGTGTTCCTCGAAGCTCTAAACTGGTAATTATGTGCATTGAAGCTCTAACATAACTTGCAGTGCATAACACATTAAAATCTGTCTTTCTGCATTGCAAATAACATTTCATTTCATCTAATAGAGCATTAGTGTTAAAAGAAGCTCTAAAATGGTAGTTATGTGCATTGAAGCTTTAATATAACTTGCAGGGCATAAAAGCTCTAACACATTAAAGTCTGTCTTTCTGTATTGCAAATAACATTTCATTTCATGAGTAAGAAACATCCTTCATGTGGGAAATCTTTGCTCTTAACATTGCATGAACCAACTTTCTCTCACTGGGAAAGAAGCTTTGCAGTATATGTGGGCTTGTTTTCTCTTCATTTGCTCAGAAACACTAACACAGCCATAGAAGCTCTAAAATAGGCTGTGCATTGAAGCTCTACCATGACCTGCTGTCTCTGGAAATTGTAACACACTTAAAAGGCTCTTTCTGCATTGCAAATACGATTTCATTTCATGAGTTAGAAACATTTTTCATAAGGGCAAGATTTACTCTTAATATTGCATAAACCAACTTTCTCTCACTGAGAAAGAACTTTGCAGCATATGTGGGCTTGCATTCTCCTCATTTGATTTTTTCCAGTAATAAAGTATTACATTTCACAGAGGCACTAAACTAAGCTTCTTGTTCATATAAGCTCTAACATAACTTCATGAGCATGAAACTCCTGACACATTAAA